CGATCCTCTTGGTAGTTTTCTCGATGTATTGCCCGTTTTGCGTGTCTCATAGGGAAGGCGGTGAAGCTGAAGATCTGGTTGGGGTTTCACACTGTATACATACGTAAAATACACCGGGGTCCACAAGTTATACCCCTAGTATCAATTTGCATGTGTCCAATTTGTCTTTCCAGAGACTAGCAGCCGAACGTGTAAATTTCATCACTGTCCATTACATTTTACAAACGTGCAGGTCCCGTAAGAGGCGTGGACTTCCATCCTACACAGCCGATGTTCGTATCTGCCGGTGATGATTACAAGGTGAAGGTCTGGAACTACAAACAGAAGCGCTGTTTGTTCACACTTCTGGGCCACGTTGACTATATCCGAACGTGTTTCTTCCACAGAGTAAGTCGCATACTGCATACGTACAGGTGCATGTATGCTTGATTCATCTATGCGTAGTTAAGAATCCAAGGATAAATATGTGGACTGTACTGTCTACATATAGCTAAAGTTCCAGGTTCATGTATGGATGTGTATGTAAGCATATACATAAACACACATTCTTCGCGGTTAATATTTGCGTCAAAGTATCCGGAGATTTGAAATTCACACGTAAGAGTGTTTTTGAACCGTGTGTTCCAACTACACGTTCTCGATCGCTGAGCACGCGAGACTCTTTAGCATTGTGATGCTCGTGCCAGCCGCGCTCACTACTTTCTCACATCAATCCGACTCAGTAACTAATTGAAGGGTTGTGTCTGTGATTTACCACAGGCTCTAGGATAGCTCTCTTAGCAGAAACTTACATATACATATATATATATATATATATATACATATATATATATAAATATACATATACATATACATATACATATACATAAAATATACATTTACACACACACCCACACACACACATATATATATACATATATATTTATATATATAACACGCCCACACGGACACACACACGCACACTCACACACACAAACACACGCACACACACACACACACACAC